TTTTTTTTTTTTTTTTTTTTTTTGAGAACTTAGAATGAAACCTTACTTATAAAGGGGTAAAAACTTTTACTTAAGGAATACGTTTTAAAACCTTTTAGGAAAACTCAAAGAAGAATATATTTATTAGTGGTGGGCTTGGGCTGTTACAAATGAAATCCGAGTCAGACATCAGGTATTGTGCCAGCAAGGACGCTAGGCCTCCAAAGGAGGTGCATAGTGAGATCTCTCATCGACTGGGGAGGTAAACACTGGAGGGTGTGCAAACGAGAAAGTTGGGCCTTCAAGGGGGTAGATAGTGAGAACCCTCATCAGTTGGAGAGCTAGACACTGGGCGGTGTGTCAGCGAGGATACTGAGCCTCAAGGGGGGTGGATAGTGAGATCCCACATCGGTTGGGGAACTAGACACCAAGCGGTGTGTCAGCGAAGATGCTGGCCCCCAAAGGGGTGGATAGTGAGATCCCACATTGGTTGGAAAGGAGAATGAAACATGTCTTATAAGGGTGTGGAAACTTTTCCTAGGGGACGCGTTTTTAAAACTTAGGGGGAAAGCCCAAAAAGGGAAAAACCCAAAGAGGACAATATTTGCTAGTGGTGGGTTTGAGTTGTTTCAAATGCTATCAGGGCTAGACACTGGATGATGTGTTAACAAGAACGCTGGGCCGTAAAGGGGATGGATTGTGAGATTCTACATCTCCCTAATGAACGAGTTTTTAAATTTGAGGGGAAACCCGAAAGGGAATGAGAGTAGATTGTGAGATCTCACATCTCCTTAGCGGACGCGTTTCAAAACCTTGATAGAAAGCTCGAAAGGAAAGTCAGAAAAGTAGAATATCTGCTAGAGGTGTAATTGGACTATTCGAAAACAAAACCATTCAAGTATCCATAATTACCTTCTGGGGTCAAGAACATGTAAGGAACATTGAGTGCATTCTCAACATGGCCCTTGTTATACTCTTCAACTGTCCTGCACCCAAAATCATTCAGCTTCATTACCCGTTCTTCTTGCCTTTGACAGGATCATATATAGAAGATAAACAGATCTAACCTGACATCCAAATAAAGCTGCCCCTTCTGCAACAGATCTTTGGCAACTTGAACATCAACAGTCACAACATCTTCTGGCCTGCAGATTAGCAATGAACACACGAGTTATTGATATCAAACTCTTCTTTAACATCGAAATGGGTAGCATTGCAGAAGTTAATTGATATCAACCTCTTCTCAGACTCCATCGTTGAAACAGCACACAGATTCTTCGTTTCAGCTTTCCCAAAAGCTCTTCTTGTTATAGATGATCAAGCTTGCAAAATGCAACCTTTTCGTTGACTTTGATCATTTCAAGTTATCCTGAACTCATCATCGTTGAGTATTTAATTAACAAATTGGCTTAAAATTTGTAGCTTCATCACCGTTGGATATAGTTCTTATTAGATTCCTTCAAACCATTGGCTCTAAATCATTTTCATGATCCGACTTTACTTGTTTGACTTTTGGGTTGTTTTTTAAGGATGAAATAAAATGTTTTTATTTATTTAGTTTGTTGGTCAACCATTCATTTTCATTAGTTAAATGATAAAAAAGAAAATAAATTAGTCATCATACCCTTCTAATTTTATGATTCTTTATTCAGTTTTTGTTGGATACAAGTTATTTTGACAAGCGGACATATGATCTTTGTGCATAGTCCGTTGAGTATCCGATTAACACTAAATTTAATGAGCTCTTATCTTTCATATAGAAGAACTTAATTTCAAAGTTGCATGTCGAAATTCATATCGAAACCCGACTTCTGAGGTTATGGCTCAAGACCCTATTCGACCCTTTTCAAACTTGTTTTCAACACTCATGTCGCTCTATTCTTTCGAATCTTATGTATGCCTCGACTTACCTTGAATGCACACTCTTAATATGTTGGATGATGCGTTCAAGGACGATGGTGCATCATGATACTTTTCAATCTTGACCCTCACGTGATTGGATGGACGCCACTTGAGGGTCGCTCCATGTTTGACTTGCATGTTGGCCAAGTGGAATTATGCAAAATTCATAATCTAATATATATATATACCCACCTAACACATCTTATTCTATTATTATGACAAGTAAGCACGGAATAATTCACAATTATTATACATATAAGTATTAATTTCTTCATAATTGAGAATTATTTATTTGCAATAATCAAATTTAAATAATTTAAATAATAAATATTTTAAAACGATAAAATCAATAAATTATTATTATCAGAACAAAAGGTAAAAGTGGGAGCCAGACAAAATGAATTGGCACGATGATGCAGACAAGGTACGTGTCTTGGCATTACCTTCATCCACCAGGAGCCTACACGCTCTTGATCCTATCTCCTCCATCTGCACCCTCCTCCTTCAACGGAGCATCACCGCCGCCGCTGAAACCGCCGCCACTTTCACCTCTAACCCAAAGCTCCTTATTCAGCCATTTTCATTCCCACTGTAAACCAGACCAGAGCTTCACCCACCATTGTCGAACCATGAGCTCTAATCCCTTTCAATCTCACACCCTTCTCCTTCTTCTCTAGTTCAATTCCCCTCTCCCATGGCCGCCATTGAAGAACCCACCAAGCCCACTTCCCTCTACGACTCCCCATCGGCGTCTCAACCCCTCCTCTCCAATCCCCCTGAATCCGACTCATCTCAGTATCTTCAGATCTCCTACAACCATGGCGACAGGCCGTTCAAGGACATCCCCATCCTTGTTCTTTTCCTTCTCTTCGTTTTTTCCTCATTTGGGTTTGGGATTTTCGCCACTTTTAATCGAAACCCCAATTACCCAAATCTCTCTTCTTATCACTATGATTTCAAAACCTCCAATTGTGTTACGGACTCCCCCAATTGGGTTCCTCTGTACTCCTCTTCTTCCTCTGTTTTGAAATCCTTGATTTGGACCCTTGTAGCTACTTCGATTTTAAGCTTACCCATTTGCTTTCTTTTACTTCTCTTGCTTAAGCACTACACGAGACAGATTGTGTACGCCTTACTTCCTTTCTTCGTCGTTGTTCCTATCTTCATCAATGTCTATTGGTTCGTCGCCTGTACGATTAACCCCACTTGCAGTAATGACTTCCCGATGGTGTATAGGATTTTAGTTCTCATCTTCATATTCTTGGTGATTGGTGTAATCGTGTGGATATTCATCGTTAATTGGCACCGAATTGAGCTCACGATTAAAATAATTGGGGTTGCCGCGGACGCACTGTCGATGAATCTGGGTCTGTTTGTGGTTATACCGAGTATGACGTTGGGGCTATTGGTTTATTATGCGCCAATCGTTCTGTTCTTGGTGTTTGCGAGGTTGAATGGGAAGATTGTGCCCGATCACCGTGGATCTAGTGGAGAGTATGCTTGTGTTTGGAAGGAAGACAAGTGGGTACCTGCTTATTATGCATTGGCGATTCTTACGATGTTGTGGTCTGCTGCTGTAATGGTGGAAGGGCAAGTTTATGTGATTAGTGGTACCATATCGCAGTGGTATTTCTCGAATGAAGAGGATGACACTCCAAGACGGAGTATTAGGAAGTCTTTAAGGTTAGTATCTACTAAATTTTGTTCTGTTGAACAGATTCATGGCTTTCTTGTATTGAATTTATTTGGGGTTCTTGATCTTTATCATTCTCTTTCAATGCTGCATGATCTCATTGGCAATAAGGATAGAGTTGAGAAAATAATCTTTGAAGACTCTAATAACATACTCTTTAGTGATGTTCTGTGCCTTGTTGATGAATTCAGTAGTGGAATAATCCAGATCCAGTGACTTTTTCTCCCCATACCCATTATTGCTGTCAAAACCTCCTCAATGAAAGGGGCATCCAGCATTTTGTTGCTTTTCTCTAGGATGGTGCTATCGATCCAACCCTCTCCGAATAAGAACCCCTTTGTAATAGCTCAAGCCCATCACTAGCCAATATTGTCCGCGCCATTAGCCTCGCGATTGTAAAACGCGTCTACTAGGGAGAGGTTTACCCACCCTTATAAGGAATGTTTCATTCTCTTCTCCAACCGATGTGGGATTTCACAATCCACCCCTCCTTGGGGTCCAGGGTTGGCTCTAATACCATTTGTAACAGCCCAAGCTCACCGCTAGTAGATATTGTACGCTCTGGCCCATTACGTATCGTCATTAGCCTCACGGTTTTAAAATGCGTCTGTTAGGGAGAGGCTTTCACACACCCTTTAAGCAATGCTTCGTTTCTCTCTCCAACCAATGTGGGATCTCACACTCTTTAGCTCACCTTGAGCTTTAGTGTTGAGATGAACAAAGAAGATGAGAAACTTTGGTTCAACATCCTTTTTAGGAATCTGCTCCCTTTTGATTTTAAGATTACTAGAATGGTTTTGGGTTGTGAATGAACCAGGGGGTAGACTATTGTTCAAATTAGTAGGGAAGCCAAGGTTTTGGGGTACCTAGACCAAATGTTGGAGCAGAAACACACCCCTGTAGGCTTGTGTGAAAAGAAAGAGGAGCTGGAGGAGAAGACTAAGATTGATATCAAAGAGGAGTCGAGGTCTTTGTTCAATGAAGATAAGAAGAAAGGAGTTGAGAAGAATCCATATTACAACAAATTAATTTGAGTCGGTTTTTGTTGCTAATAGGGAGATATGTTGTGAGATCCCACATCAGTTGGAGAGGGGAACGAAGCATTCCTTATAAGGGTGTGGAAACCTCTCCTTAGCAAACGTATTTTAAAACCATGAGGCTGAATACGATACGTAATGGGCCAAAGCAGACAATATTTGTTAGCGGTGGGCTTGGGCTGTTACAATCGTTACTTTTGTTCTTGTACTCTTAACTTTTTGTCATTGCCTTTCTTCCTAGTTTGATTGTATTAGTTAGCTGATTGGCCAGCCTTTTCTTTTTCTAATGAGAATAATTCTTTTCCTGTTTGTATTGAAACAATGTATGTTAGACAGCGTTGGGATCAGTTATGATCATTGATTCTTATGCTGGCCATTGCTCATTTGCAGGAATGCATTTGGCCCCTCTGCTGGCACTATATGTTTATCTGGATTACTAATTCTTGTGGTGCGTGTTGTTCGTGCTGTGGTCGATATTGCAAGACAAGAAGATATTCCCGGGATGTTCAACCTTATTTTACGTTGCTGCGTAAATACGTTTCTGGCAGCTGTTGATTATCTGAACAAATTTGCAATAACTTTTGCAGCAATAACTGGTGAAGCTTACTGTTCATCTGCAAAAATGACATACGAACTCTTGAAACGAAATCTCCTTTCAACTGTTTTTGTGGAGACAATCTCCACGCGTTTGTTAGCTGGAATCGCCTTTGTCGTCTCAGCCATATATGCAATTGTGGTACGTAAACAGAAAAGGGCTGTGTTTATGTTTAGCTATGCAAGTCAAGATTTTTCTTCCCCCATAGTTTTATGCTGCAGAAGCTTACAAAGGCCAACTTTTTTTGTTTTTTTCTTTTTTTTTGGTCTACCTCAAACACTATCCCTTTAGTTTTGTGAGATTCCACCTCGGTTGAGGAGGGGAACGAAGCATTCTTTATAAGGGTGTGGAAACCTCTCCCTAATAGACACGTTTTTAAAACCTTAAGGGAAAGCTCGAAAGGGAAAGTCCAAATTGGACAATATCTGCTAGCGGTGGGCTTGGACTGTTACGAATGGTATCAGAGCTTGACACCGGACGGTGTGCTAGCGAGGACGTTGGACCTTGAAGGGAGTGGATTGTGAGGTCCCACATCGGTTGGAGAGGGGAACGAAACATTCTTTATAAAGGTGTGAAAACCTCTATCTCGAGGGGAAGCCCAAAAGGGAAAGCCCAAGGAGGACAATATCTGCTAGGGGTGGGTTTGAGCTATTTAACAAGTTCTCTCTCTTATATTCCCTTCATATGGTTGTATATTTGCAGGCTTGTGCCATCTTACAGGCCGTGAGCCATCTTGGTGTTAAAACATACCTTGTCGCCGTTGCGGCATGGCTTCTCCTAATCGTGGTACTCACATTCTTTATCCACGTACTGGATAATGTAATCGAAACCGTGTACGTATGCTATGCTATTGACAGGGACAGAGGAGCAGTGTGCAAACAAGATGTCCATGAGGTTTATGTTCACCTACCCATTAGCAGGAATCACAGATCATCTCTGGTAACTTCTTCACTCCTTGTATAATAAATTGTACTGCAATTCACATAGTATGATGACTGTGTTTGAATATGCTATTCTGTGTATAATGAGTTGTCACCCTGTACATTTTGAGCCTTTTCCCCCACCTTTAAGTTGGGTCTTTAGTGGACAAGATTGCCAATTTATTTCATGAAAATAGAATAAAAAGCTTTAGGCCTTGTTGTTTTATCCTTCCCTTATGTGATGATCACTTGTAATTGAAGGCTCTCTGAGCTTCTGTGCACTGTTCATATTCATACAGAACATTTGTTATGGTTAGGATCAGGCAATGATGATCAAAAGATTGGGGCTGTATTTGTTTATATCAGCCTCAAGTCATCATCGGAGCTGTTAAAACTTGAATAAACTGGGCTGACCGATAACAACATTCAAAGTATTTGTTAGTTTGTAACGACCCAGATCCACTGCTAGCCGATATTGTCCACTTTGGGCTTTCCCTTTCGGGCTTCCCCTCAAGACTTTAAAACGCGTCTGCTAGGGGAAGGTTTCCGCACCCTTATAATATGGTGTTTTGTTCTCCTCTCCAACCAATGTGGGACATCACATAGTCGTACACCTCTATAGGCACTGTTCTAATTTTGAGAATACTAGGAATAGGTATGGAGTTCGCTTAAAGACGAAACAACTTGAATGTAGGAAATATTGTACTAGTGATTTTGTGTAACAGCTCAAGCCCACCGCTAGTAGATATTGTTTGTTTTGGCCCGTTACATATCACCGTCAGTTTCACAGTTTTAAAATGCGTCTACTAGGGAGAGATTTCTACACTCTTGTAAGGAATTTTTCGTTACCTTTCCCAACCGATGTGAGATTTTATAATCCACCTTATTTGGGTCTCAACATCCTTGCTAGCACACCGCCCGGTGGCTATGATACTATTTGTAACAGCCCGCTCACTATTAGCTGATATTGTCCACTTTGACTCATTACGTATTGCGGTTAGACTCATAGTTTTAAAATTCGTTTACTAGAGAAAGGTTTTCACACCCATACATGGAATGTTTCGTTCTCCTCACCAACCAATGTGAGATCTCACCATTCACCCATCTTGGGGACCCAGCGTACTCGCTGGCATACCACCAGGTGTCTGGCTCTAATATCATTTGTAAAAGCCCAAGTCCACCGCTAATAGATATTGTCTACTTTGGCCCATTACGTTATCGCTGTGAGTTTTAAAATGCATCTACAAAGAAGAGGTTTCCACACTCTTATAAGGAACATTTCGTTCCTCTCTTCAACCGATGTGTGACCTTACAATCCACTCCTTTAAAGACCTAGTGTCCTCGTTTGGACACCACTCAGTGTCTGATTCTTATACCATTTGTAACAGTCCAAGTTCACCGCTAGCAGATATTATCTGCTTTGGCATGCTACATATCACCGTTAGCTTCACGGTTTTAAAATGTATCTACTAGGGAGAGGTTTTCACACCCTTATAAAGAATGTTTCGTTTCTCTTTCCAACCGATATGAGATCTCACATTATTCTTTCTCGGTTGCTACAACGCAATTGAAAACCACAAGAAAGAAATAAGAGTTATTCCATTAGAAAGAAGCCATAAACTAATGCCCAAGATTTGATGAGGACACTGGTAGCAGATAAACATCAGTTCTCTCTGCCCCACTCCTCTCCTTTCCTCTATTCTTCCACTTTTTTATTGGATTCTTCTCTTTGTACTCTTATCTCCAAATTGGACACCTCTTTGTCAGCTAAACCTTTTCACATAGGTTCGAGATAGTATGATATCGTCCATTTTCAATCTATATTTACATGACTTTGTTTTTTGTTTCGCTCAACAGACTTGGTATAGATAGGAAGTTTTTTTCATGTATTAATGTTCACGTCTCAAACACCTAAGGACGTTTTTCTTCCAACTACACCAGTCTTCTAATATGAGCTAACCCCAAAAACACATCTTCCGCTCGGATTATAAGCTCGGAATCACTAGTAATCATCGATCAACCATATGATGGTGAATTCATTTTCAGGCCTTGTATACACCACTCATCATACCGTAGGAGTTGGTCATGCCCGAAGTCATTACCCTAATCTCAAAGAGAGGGATGTCGAACAAGTCAAAAGCTTGAGATTACAAAACGATCTTTCATGTCGAGTCGTTGGTACTGAAAGTAGAATGGTTAGGGAAACATCCCCCACACAAAGGAATGATGCCACTGTGTTCCTCCAGACAAATCCATGGAAAACCTCAAAACACCTTTTTAGAACCAAGAACAAAGGACTGAAAAATTTCATTGAATCATAATAATAAAAGATTCAAATCATGCCCATCTTCAACCTATCCGTGATTGCCTCACTCTGCAATTATTTTTGAAAAAATTTGTGATCATTACATAATATTTTTTTTGGCTCCTTTGCTTCAACGCAAAGACTTGTGTATAGAGAAACACGATGAAATAGATATGGAGGATATGGTCGTGTGATCCCTTGCCATAACGCCATAAAATATGTATATTAAAGGTGTTCGAAGAACTCAATGATCCAAAAACTCGATCGACCCAAAATTAGACTGGGTTATAGACTTATTTGGGTTGAGTTAGGTTCAAATAAATATAATTATATATTTTTTAAAAAAAATTTTATTCTTTATTCTCCATTTTCTCCATTTTGTAACTATTTATCACTCGTTATTAATTAAATGTTTGAAAATAAATAAAGGTGTATTTTGTCTATTAATATTCTATTTTTAATTTAAATAAAATTGTATAAATGACATAATCTGACCCAAAAATTTGAATAAAATTTATTTGTTGGGTTGTATTCATTATTTAATGAGAGTTATTTGGATTGAAAAACTTACGTAACAATTGGGTCAGGCTTAAAAAAAATGTTACAATTCGTCTCGACCCTGTTGGATGATGAAAGTCCCACATCGGTTAATTTAGAGAATGGTCATGGGTTTATAATCTAAGAATACACTCTCCATTGGTATGAGGCCTTTTGGGGAAGCCCAAAGCAAAGCCATGAGAGCTTACGCTCAAAGTGGACAATATCATACCATTGTGGAGAGTCGTGTTCGTCTAACAGACCCAACTCACGAACACCTTTCATATGTACTCTCAACTCAACTAAACCGAACTAAATTAACAATAATGATAAAAAGATTCAAATAAAAATGGAACTTTTATAAAACTTTTTCGTAGACTAGCTTTTTGAAATTGAATTTTTATTGAATTTTCGTAGACAATGTGACATAATTCACTAAACCATAAATTACTATAATACTCATTTAATTATATTATCAAATTAGTAACTTATAATAATTAAAAATATTTTATTTAAATAATATAATAATTTATTGAAAGAAAATTCCATAATTATTAAGATTTAATCCAACAATGATAAAATATTTTATCTTATTTCGGATATTATTAATAATTAGTTTAAATTCGATTTTATTTTAAAATTTTAAATTAACTTTTAAAATATTTGTTTTAATTCCTAAATTTTTAAGTGGTTCAACTTTAGTCTCTATTTATTTTATTTTATACAAGATTTTATGATGGTTAAAAGCGTAATTATGTGCAATTGATAGGGGTATTTTGGTAAGGAGATCTTTATATAAAGCCCCAATTCGGTTCACCCTCACTCGCAGTAGTCAATTTTCAGAGTTCCTAGGAGTGTTCACAGACCAGTTCCCGACGAGACCTAACAATGGCGATGGCTTTCAAGATGGTAATAATTTATACACTTCACAGTTATAATTTCTTCTGTGTATATATATTTTTTTCATTTTTTTATGAAATTATGATTCTGATTTGATTTGTTATCGACGAATCTCAGGCAACCACTGGAATGTGGGTGAGCGATGAGTGCAAGAACTCGTTTATGGAGATGAAATGGAAGAAGGTGCATAGGTATATTGTGTTTAAGATCGATGAAGGATCGAGGTTGGTCACCGTTGACAAGGTCGGTGGTCCGGCCGAAAGCTACGATGATCTAACTGCCTCATTGCCGAATGACGACTGTCGATATGCAGTGTTCGATTTCGACTTCGTCACCGTTGATAACTGCCGGAAGAGCAAGATCTTCTTCATCGCGTGGTATGTTGCGCAATTATTTTCTGTTTTTCGTCGATTGCATCCGTCCTCATTCATCTAACCTCTATTTCCGTAGAATCGTTCAATTCTCTCTGATAACTTGAATAGCTATGTGGAAATCCTGATGAGTTCGACTCAAAATTTCCTCGAATTCGTAACTCTAGTATGTTGCGCGATTATTTTCTGTTTTTCGTCGATTGCATCCGTCCTTCATTCATCTAACCTCTGTTTCCGTAGAATCGTTCAATTCTCTCGGATTACTTGAATAGCTACACGAAGCTTCTTTTTATGCGGAAATCCTGATGAATTCGACTCAAAATTTCCTCGAATTCATAATCTCTAGTCCTGTTACAGTGTCTAATTAATTAGGTGTTGAGAGCAGCAGCATAATCGCACTACTGATCGTAATCGGAATTCTAATTCATTATTTGATCATTCATTTTTCTTTTCAAAGAATTTGACATCGAGTATAGTAATTGATTTTAAAATAGGATGGATCTGAATCTGAAACTCAAACTGAAACCGATCGATTGGTTTGATATGGTACAGGTCGCCCACCGCATCAAGAATTAGAGCAAAGATTCTATACGCAACTTCGAAAGCCGGGCTGAGGAGAGTGCTGGAAGGCATTCATTACGAGGTTCAAGCAACCGATCCAACTGAAATGGGGATGGATGTGATCAAGGACAGAGCCAAATAGATCGATATTCAGAAGGAAAAAAAAAGCTAATCAATCTTTAGGCATCTTTTACTTTGGGTTTCTAATAATGAATCACCACTCCAACCACATCCATTATCTGCTTTTCATTCTTTGTTTGTTCACTTTTTTGCCTTTTTCTTTGTGTTTTTAGATTTTGAGCCCTAATGTAATTAAAAGTAAGATAAAAGAAAAGTATCTTCTAATGTTGAGAACAATTAAAGCCCCTTTTCCTTGTATTGGCTTTACTCTTGAAAAGGTGAGCTTATAATCCATCTGGTTTATAATTTGATCTTGTAATTGTAACAGAATTATATATTAAGGCTACATTTTATGCAATTATTTGTAAATGTCATAGAAACATTGATATGTGACTTGGAATTTAATATATATATATTTGTTTAAAAGCTTTAAAAGCTATGAAATTAATATATCATCCAACATACTCTATTGATTTTAATGTAATGAACTAATTTATATTGTATTATTTACATTATTATGGTACAATGCTTTATATTCAAATCATAAAAGGTATTATTGCAGGGTGGATAATCACGGACAACTGACTTAGGAACATAAATGTGTTAAGAGGTTTAAAGAAGGGGACGCAACGGTACTTTCTTTTTCGACACGAAAATAAAAGGAAAATAATTATATGAATTATTCCAATGACCCTCAACTTTAAATTATTATGAAAGTATACTTTCCGATCTATTTTAATTTTTGTACGTCTAAATTTAATTTTCATGCTTTCAAATAAGTCTTAAAATGTAAACTTTATAGAATGAAACGGGATAAAGCCTAGTTTAATTTCAAAGTTCATGTACTAAAATCGTAGATCGTTTCATAAATAGGATGGAAATGAATTTAAAAAATATATTTACCAATAATATATTATTGTGTGAAATTCGAAAATTTGGCCTAATTTCTATTTTAAAATATTTATATAAAATTGGAATCTCACTCCAAAACTTATTTTTAAAAATAAAATATATATATATTATTATTTAAAACTATGGCGGTGTGTTTTCTAAAATTAATATCAATTTTGATAATGAGATAATAGTGAAATTAATTTCGAATCGTATAAAAGGCTGTATATAGACCCGTTTTAATTTAATAATGGGCCCCAAGGAGGCCCAAAACCGGCCCACATGATTCCGTGCCTATTGGCCCATTTTGATATGTGATTGGACATTAGAGATATTATGGGTCTCTCTTCACAAATAGAAAATAGTAATTAAAATAAAAATTTTCATACTCAATTAATGACGAGTCGAGAGATAAAACCATCAACTTTGTCAACTAAAGTTATTTTAATTTTAAAATAAAATTATTTAAATAAACGATCGAATATTTTAAATAAATAATTTTTTTAAGTAGGATTCCAAATGTAATTACATTAAATTTTGATTAATCAAATTTAAAAATCTATATAATATTATTACAAAACATGTAAATGGCAAGATTTCCGACCATTTTCTTTGGGCATTTACTCAAAATTTTGGCTTTTTGCTTTTTTTTTTTCTTTTTTTTCTTTTTTCTTTTCCTTTTCCTTTTCTATTTTCCTTAGTAAATAAGTCTTATTTGTATCACTTTCTCTTATAAATTTACAGTGGAAATAAATTAATCTGAATAACAAAATTTAGCGAGAAACACGGAGAAAACTTTTGACCAACTTTCCAGCTAATAATTTATTTTTTTTAATAAAAAAATCTGAAAATATCTAACTGAGAATGGGACCCACCGAACACAAGAACCAACGATAGCATGTTTGCCACGAGGATGTAGGGTGGGATGAAGATGAGATCACGACCGTCCAGATAGTGGGTTATCGTTTCATTGAACAGTTGGATGGATGGGTACACGACATCGACCAATGCGACCTGTACCACTAGATCTCCTCTCTTTCACTCTGCTCTTATCTTCAGTTATGTTCTCTTTTGGCAAAGACCAAAAACACAAAATGCACGCCGTTTCATGCCACGCGATCTCCGGCGCGTGCTTTTCACTTCTCTCTAAAATCAATTATTTTAATCTCTTTATTTAAATTTTTTTTCACGTTACAACTCCAACTCAATCTTAGTTTTAAAATTATCATTAAAATTAAGAATATTTGATGTTTGTAACGGGTGTTAATGATGCATCCTAACTTGTAGAGGTTTGAATTAGGTTGGGTTGTGAATTATGTTTAGTTTACTATCTAATCGGCCAGAAATTTTGAGTTAGTTTAAAATATTTTCTCATGGGAAATCTGACATGAAGCAAATTTGCATTTCATCCGAGCCATCTTTTTCTTAACAATATCTTTGTCATTTGATCCAATAGCGTTCCGTTAGGGTTCAACAGTGAATTTCTTCTTCCAGCGTTTCAGGGGAGCCCTAAGAAGACATGATCCCAAGCGAGCTAATTGATGCGACCAGACCTCAAACTAAGATTTTGCGGGGTCTTCCTCAGGAATTTCTGAGAGGAAAGAAGGAGTGAGACCGAGTTTACAGTTAAAGAATAAGAAGGAGAATTAATCTTGTTGATCACCATAACAAGAATTAAGTAAGAAGAAAGAGAAGAGACCGTAAAATAGCTTTACAGAGTGAAATGAAAGAAGGGACAGGTTTAGGGGGACTCCAAGTCAAGAATATATGTTTTAAATAAGATAACTCGCAATAAAAATTCAGGGTTAATAAAGACAACTCGAGGTGAATGAATTGGAGTTTAAGTTACGGTCACGTGCTAAATCCAACCACCTACTAATTATCATACCGAAACTATGTACTAAAAAAAATGTGAATAATGAGAGGAAAATAACGATTATAATAAAGAAAATGGAAATTTCCATAAAAATAGGATTTTTTGGGTTGGGAGCTATTATAAGTGAAACATAAATTAAATGAGTTTTCAACAAAAAAAAAAAATTAAAAAATTAAAAAAGCTAATTAAATCAATTAATAATCATTTCTCTTCAGATCTTATACAAAAATATCTAAACAAAATATTATTACATTATGTTAATAATTTACATTAAAGTGGAAATTATTAAAAAAGATATAATTTAATTTAATTAATTAAAAGGGGAAGAAAAAGAAAAAGCCTGACCTTGTTGTTATTATTCGATTCCATCTGATGGGCTTTTTTTCAACCCCACGATCCAACGGCTATGATTATTGATGAATGCGTACAATTATTCCAGTTTTCCCCCCTGTTTTTTTCAATAATTCCTGAAATGCCTATCTAATTTTACATATTTATGAAAGTGACCCCTCGATTTCCACGGACCATTACTTTTTTAATTTCCTTTTAACTTTTTTCCGTTTCGTTTTCTTTGAATTTAAATAAAACAATTCAAATGGTCAGGAACGGCGTCGTTTTGAGCAAATCTAATTGTACTTTCTTTGGGCCCCACGACCAAAACATGCTGACTCATCAAATCCCCTTTGACGACAAAAAAATAAAAAAATAAAAAATCGTTTTTTTTTTTTTTTTAATTGGGTTTTGAAATTTAAATAAATACATAATTAAGAGAATTAAAACTGTGTTTTGCCGGTTATATTTTCCCCCAATTCTTGTTTGTCGGCATATTCACTCTCCATTTCCACTCTCTAATGGCCGCTTATCTCTCCCCTCTCTTCTTCTTCTTTCTTTTGATTGTTCATCGATTGACAGTTTCGGCCGATTCGCCATTGAAGAAGACCTTCATCTTCCGTGTGGATCGTTTCTCTAAGCCCTCTGTTTTTCCCACCCATTACCACTGGTACACTTCTGAGTTTGCAGAATCCCACAAAATCCTCCATGTTTACGACACCGTTTTCCATGGATTCTCTGCAACTCTCACTCAACAACAAGTTGATTCCATCGGGAAACACCCTTCTGTGCTCGCCGTTTTTGAGGATCGTCGCCGGCAGCTTCACACCACCCGTTCCCCTCAGTTTCTTGGCCTTCGAAACCAGCGTGGTCTCTGGTCGGATTCTGATTATGGGTCGGATGTAATCATTGGGGTTTTCGACACTGGGATTTCCCCCGAACGGCGAAGCTTCTCCGATGTGAATTTGGGGCCGATTCCTCGCCGGTGGAAGGGGGTTTGTGAGACGGGAACTAAGTTCACGGCTAGAAACTGTAATAGGAAGATCGTCGGTGCGAGGTTTTTCTCTAAGGGTCATGAAGCTGGGTCCAACGCTGCCGGTCCGATTATTGGGATTAACGACACGATTGAGTTTAGATCTCCGAGAGATGCCGACGGCCATGGGACTCATACGGCCTCCACGGCGGCTGGGCGCCATGCGTTTCAGGCGAGTTTGGAGGGTTTTGCTTCTGGGATAGCGAAGGGTGTGGCTCCTAAAGCGCGTTTGGCGGTTTATAAAGTTTGTTGGAAAAATTCTGGTTGTTTTGATTCTGACATTCTTGCGGCATTTGATGCGGCGGTTAACGACGGCGTGGATGTCATTTCGATCTCGATTGGAGGCGGCGATGGGGTTTCCTCGCCGTATTATCTCGACCCAATTGCAATCGGAGCGTACGGCGCCGCTTCCAGGGGTATCTTCGTTTCGTCTTCGGGTGGGAATGATGGACCTAATGGAATGTCAGTGACGAACTTGGCGCCGTGGGTTACGACCGTTGGAGCCGGTACGATTGACCGTAATTTCCCGGCGGTGGTGACTCTAGGTAACGGACGGAGGATTTCCGGCGTGTCACTCTACGCCGGAGCGCCTTTGAACGCTACAATGTTTCCATTGGTTTACCCTGGGAAATCAGGGGTGCTCTCTGTTTCGCTCTGTATGGATAACTCTCTCGATCCTAAGGTTGTTGCCGGAAAAATTGTGATCTGCGACAGGGGAAGTAGTCCCAGAGTGGCTAAGGGTTTGGTCGTTAAGAAAGCCGGCGGCGTCGGAATGATTCTGGCGAATGGAATCTCAAACGGCGAAGGACTCGTCGGGGACGCCCATCTTCTTCCCGCTTGCGCAGTCGGCTCCGACGAAGGAGATTCCATGAAAGCCTACGCATCGTCCTCTGCAAATCCCACCGCCACCATCGCCTTCCAGGGCACTATAATCGGAATCAAACCGGCGCCGGTGGTGGCTTCCTTCTCAGCAAGAGGGCCAAATGGATTAAACCCTGAAATTCTAAAACCAGACTTAATCGCACCAGGGGTTAACATTCTCGCCGCCTGGACCGACGCCGTCGGTCCAACCGGTTTGGACTTCGATACAAGAAAAACAGAGTTCAACATCTTGTCTGGTACATCAATGGCGTGTCCTCATGTAAGTGGCGCCGCTGCTCTGTTGAAGTCAGCTCACCCAGATTGGAGTCCAGCGGCGTTAAGATCCGCCATGATGACCACCGCAAGTACCACCGACAACCGACGACAGCCGATGACGGAAGAATCCACCGGAAAAGCTTCAACTCCGTACGATTTCGGTGCTGGGCATGTAAATTTGGGTCTAGCAATGGACCCGGGTTTAGTCTACGACATTACAAACACGGATTATGTCAATTTCTTGTGCTCAATCGGATACGGACCGAAGATGATTCAAGTGATAACAAGAACGCCGGTAACCTGTCCGGCGAAAAAACCATTGCCGGAAAATCTCAATTACCCATCAATCGTTGCAGTATTCTCCAGTCTATCAAAAGGGTGGTCGACAAAGTCGTTTATCCGAACAGTGACGAACGTGGGTCCGGCAAATTCAGTGTACCGTGCCAAAATCGAAGCTCCAAAAGGGGTAACGGTGAAAGTAAAGCCTTCAAAGCTCGTGTTCTCAGCGGCGATGAAGAAACAGAGCTTCGTTGTAGCAGTGTCAGCCGACAACCAGAATCTAGCACTGGGCGACGTGGGCGCTGTTTTTGGTTGGGTTTCTTGGTCGGATGGAAAGCATGTGGTCCGAAGCCCACTCGTAGTAACCCAATTAGAGCCGTTGTAAAGCTTTGGAATTCGATCATCCATCTCCTAATGATCGATGGCTACACCATCTAAGATTGCTATTTTCTTCCTTTTTTACAGCTTTTTTTTGGCTCTTTCAAGCTTATAATCCTATGTTGTTGTGTGAGATATGTTTTATATGATGATCAATGGCTTTGGCTTCGAACTCTCTGTTATTTTCAAACGTTACAATTACCTAAAGACTCCGATTATCTCGATTCGATTCTCAAAACGATATCGCTCGTCACAGGGACCGTGACACAGAAAGGGATGAGTTTGATACCAATAATTTAGAGTTTGAAGTTAGATTGATATTGATATGAGAGTGGGGAGGCAGCCACAGAAGAGACAGTGCTAACAAGACATTGGATACTGTTTTGGGAACATTTTGGTTTGTTTCTTAGATTCAATGCTTTAGTGAAGACACTTGTAGTTGAAGCTTGTTGAAAATCAATGGCTAAGTAATTATTAAATGAAAGTAAGCGGGTGAAAATTTAGGGTTAATGGTGCACTGAGGGCTTGAAAATCGTCTTATACAACCGCACTCGTGTTGCAGCGGAACAACAATTGTGAAACACTTGTTCTAACCCAGAGAACAAATCAATCGTGAAAAATTTGTACTTTGCGGACGATATTGGTGCATGTTCGAGTCCTAGGTCACGTTTGAGATAAATGTTTTAGGAATCCTTCGTGATGGAATACATTGAAAACAACTTTAAAGAAAGTAATGTTATAAATTAAAAGCGAACAGGCAATAATGACTTTGTTAACATAAAACTCGATACGAATAATTGACAACTAACCACATCTTCCTATATTACATTTTGGGGCATTTTATGTCTGTCGAGTGTAACATGATTTTAGTGACTTGCCATACACCCTTTCGAAATTTACCAGTCTCGTTAAGCTTTCTCATGTCTTTTTTATATTTATATATATGATTGGAAGTCTAGTAATCCACTAGGGCATATGTGAAGTGGATAGCTGGGGTGGAAGCCATTTCTTAAATATAGTAATCATCAAATCCACTAATTATGTTTTGAGTGTTAATTATCTCTGCATTTTCTTCGTATGTCTTCGAACTCGTTTTAGTTTCTTTTTATGAATGAGGACTCAGTATCTTAGAACAAACATCGAATGTTTCACGCGTGTAGCTAGGTGTTATTTTCATAGGGATTGGTAACTTAATTTGTCATCGTGACTACCAAGTGGTAACACTTGACATCTTCATCAATCCATTCCCGTGTCTAATAATTGAAATTTTATGATAGCTATTAATTGCTTCTCTCAAACATTACAATGGTTTCCGAATCGATGGATGTTAATCTAACTAATCGAATCAACTCTACTTCTACATCACAGTAATTGGCATCCACTATCTCTCTTACCTTTGACAACACCAAATTTGTAACAGCTCAAGCCCACCACTGATAGATATTCTTCATTCTAGTCTGTTACGTATAGCCGTTAGCTTCACGGTTTTAAAACACAACTGCTAGAGAGGTTTCCACACTCTTATAAGAAATATGTGTTTCGTTCTCCTCTCCAACTGATATGGGATCTCACAATCTACTCCCTTGGAGGTCAGTGTCCTCGCTGGCACACCCCAAGTAACTGGCCCTGATACCATTTATAACAATTCAAGTTCACTATCAGCAAATATTGTCATTTATGGGATTTCTGTCGTGAGCTTCTCCTCAAAGTTTTAAAACGCGTATGCTAAGAAAGATTTCCACACTCTTATAAAAAATGTTTAGTTTCTGTCTCCAACCAACATGGTATCTCACAAAACCGACGTGTATACTAAATTTTTTATGCCAACTACGACTACTTAAATCCTAACCTGAGTGTAGAGTAGCGACTGTGAATAGGTTGAACTGGGGCCATGAGTGTATTAAGAAAGGGATGGGGCCTGGTTCTGAGGCAGAGATGAGTTCAGCAGAGGTAGGAAGGTGACAGAGAAAGTGGCTTGCAGTTGCAGCCCAAGCAGCCCACCAGTGTTGTAAAAGCAAGCAACTGTTGTAGGCCTACTGGGTTTGGGTTTGGGTTTGGGTTTGGGTTTGGAAAAGATAAAGATGGTGTATAAATAATTGGATAATGTTTGGGGGAAAACAACACAAATAAGGGTAGGTACAACAAATAATTGAGGGAAGCGCAAGTGGTGGACAAACCATATCTTCATTAGATTTTTTCTTGATCTGTAACAATTCAATGTGAGCCGATGTTATCCACTTTAGTCTATTACGTATCGTCGTCAGTCTTACTTTAACTAATGTCTCGCACCATCTGGAGACTGACTTTGATACCATTTATACCAATCCAAGCCCACCACTAGTAGATATTGTTCACTTTGATCCGTTACGTATTGTCGTCAGTCTTATAGTTTTAAAACATGTCTACTAGGGAGAAATTGCCACAAAAAAAATCAAAGACATTTCCACACCTCTTGATCCGGGAACATTTGTTTAGTTTTAGTGTTTAGGGTTCAGAGACACCTGCACACCTCTTGATAAAGGAGTGATCTCTTTTGCCACAAAAATCCCGAGACACCTGCACACCTCTTGATCCTAAAACATATGTTTAAGTCTAATGTTTAGAGTTTAGAGTCTAGAATTTAAGGTCAATGATATTATCTCACCTCGTGTCAACCTTCATATATAAGTGGTTACCGATATTTATTATACCTTTGGCCACAAAAGACTCGAGACACCTGCACACCTCACGCTAACGTTTAGGGTTTAGGGTTAGATAGTTTGATATGCATTATTAAAGCTCCATTAAGGTGCACTTGGCCACTTGGAAGCCTTTGAAATATCTCACTTTTGAAGCTTTAAAAGATGTCTTCACCATCACTATCACCATCACTCATAACAAGGGTCACCATGCATCATCCTAAGCTTCATTCAACAATCCTTAGCCATACAAAAAAATATATTTTTTTTTTTTTTATTTCTCTCTCTCTCATCCATACTTTTCTCTCACTAAATCATGGATCATAATATATATCCCTTTTCCTTACCTTTTAACCAAACTTTGTCCCAGTAAACCACCTTTCATAACCAGTATACGCCGACTAGATCTTAGACCTTAATATTTCATGAACAGGTATATTTCATTTAATTATATTTTACTAACTATTTATTTTCCAGCACGAACGTAACTTACATGACATAAATGGTATTAAAGATATTAACATCTTTGGTTACATGAACATGTATATTTCATTTTTTTTAGGTCTCACAGATTATATGAATCTCTTTGATTTCATTTAAGATGATATTTTTGTAATATATTTTTATAAATAATTATGAAATAAATTGAAATTTTTGACTAATTTTTTAATATCGATATCGAATCATTCGAGTTAAAGAAAATGTACACGTGGAAATATTGAAAAATAATTATGAAATAAATTGAAATTTTTGACTAATTTTTTAATATCGATATCGAATCATTCGAGTTAAAGAAAATGTACACGTGGAAATATTGAATTATAGATGAGAATTTAATATTTATATAATAACTACTAATTTTATGGAGGTCATGTAAGGGAAGAAAGTCAAAGTGGACTAAATATGAAATAAAATAAAATAAAATAAAATAAAAGGGGAAATGGGACATGTGAGGGGTGGGTCCCACCGCCGCAACCAAGCACGTGATGATGAATAGTCCCCAAGAACAGAGGAGGTTTGGTTAGGTTAGGTAGCCTCCCGAAGCTGACGTTTACACTTTACATTTTTTTTTTCTCGCTTTTACCCCCACCATAATTCCTAATTTCCATCTCTACCCCTCTTTCATTTTTTTTTTTTCGTCTTGTTCGTTAATTTAGCTTCATTTTTTTGTTTTTTAAATTAATTACTTAGAATTACATTATAGTTTTTTAAAGGAAATTAAGACATGGAAGAGCAGTTATTAATGGTTAATTTTCATTCGGGTCAACATTTCATAAGCTACAGTAACAACGTGGTAAATCAAAATCACCGAGGTGAATGAGTGCATGTCATCATCAACAACCGAAAAAAGCTACTAAATAAAACGTTTTGACCAACTTTGCAATTGAATCTCATTAGAAATGTCCATTTAATGTAAAATAGGAGAGGAAGTGGGGAGATATTTCTGTCTCTTAGCTAAAATGGAAGTGTTCGTTCGTGCCCAAATTCTCATACCATTGTTAAATCCTAAATATACATATTTATAAGACGAAGCATTGGTCATAAACGATAATCTGAATAACCAACACAATCAATTTAAAATTTTGAATTGGTTAGACGATGAACACTTGTCGAGGTGGGGTGGGTGGTGAAGAAAAATATGAAAGGGAAGGTTCTATTGTCTCAACCCAACCCCTTTTCAAAAGTGACTCATTTAGGCCCATAATCAATTTCCCATTCATTTATCTAATCATTAAATAAAAATAATAATAATAATAATAATAATAATTCAGAGTGGCCACCACCATGTTTGGTTCTTTTGTATGCCCATTTTGTGTGTTGTTTACTTTTCAGGTATGGAAATTCATATCTTTTAGCTTTCTTTATGGATACCCTTTTCCTCAATTATGTTGGATTCTCTTCCCATTCTTTTTCAAATAAAAAAGTGGTACATTTCATCCTAAATTTGGTTTTAACTAAACTCCGTCTCGATCTAATAAACATGAGTCGGAGGTTGGCATATAGGGCAGCTTCCTAGTACACCACCCTGTAAATGACTCTACATGTACCTAAATGGATGAATGAATGTTCGAGATGTCTTAATGATAGAATTGAATCATGGGTCAATTCTTAAAAGTGTGTCAGAGCAAACCGAAAAGGCGAATAACAATCGAGTCAATATCAGTTATTTAAGCCCAAAAATGGGTGATTTGGGTCTTTCATAAGTCAACCAACAAATCCATTCATTTGTTTCCTTTTTGGTTAAGCTTTGTTCTTCCTTCAAGTGGCTAAATTCTTATCCATTTTCTCATTATTATGGAGGCAGAAAATTACAAATATCCAAACCCCAAAACTACAATTACTTCAAAAAAGGAAGCATCTTAAATCATTACGACACAATTGAAAAATAGTCTTTCGAGTTAGAAATTGACCTATTACGTATCGTCGTCAGCTTCACAGTTTTAAAACACGTCTACTAGAGAGAGGATCTTACAATATCCACCCTTCTTGGAGACCA